AGCGACCGCAGCGCCTTCCCCAGAGGCTCCGTGGTTGCTGCTGCTGCTGCTGTTGCTGCTGCGCCCGCTGCTGCTGCTGCTCGCGGCCCTCCTGCTGCTGCAGCGCCGCACGGCGACGACCCGTTCGCGGAGTCCGGAAACTCCGTCTCCTTCTCGCTTTGCTGCTGCTGCTGCTGCTGCGGGATGGCGAGCAGGTCCTGGGCCCTCTTCAGCCACCGCTGGGCCTTGTCCCTCAAGTCCACCAAGTCCCCATGCAGGCTCCAGTTCTTAATTACCAAACTGTCTGCAGCAGCAGCAGCAGCAGCAGCACAAGAGAGCTGCCTTTCGCACCAGGTGCAGCTGCCGCAGTAAACACGGGGGCCTAGCGCACCAGCAGCAGCAGCAGCAGCAGCAGCAGCAAAGCAGCAAACTCGGCAGCCCACCGTGAATGGCTATGAGCTCAACCAGCTGATCATAGGGGGCCCTTCGCCGTTCTGCTGCTGCTTCGGCTTCGCCCGAGGGGGCCCCCGCAGCAGCAGCAGCAGCAGCAGCAGGAGGCTCGGCCTGCTTGCGGTGCCGCTGCAGCTCGAGAATGTGAATGAGGTCTTCTTGCTGCAGCGTGCCTTTGCGGCGGAAGCCGTCGAGAGACCCCACAGCCCAGCCGAAGCGCACAGCAGCAGCAGCAACTGCTGCTGCTGCTGCTCTGTCCAGCAGCGCGCGCGCCCGCGCAGTAAATGCTGCACACTGCTCCACGTAAACTGACAGCGGCTGCAGCCAAGACCCAATCTCCAGCTGCTGCTGCAGCAGCTGCCCGTCCTGCAGCACTTGCCGCGCCTCAGCCAAAGAAAGGCTGCCGCTCTCTGTCTTCACGAAGCGTTTCTCCCACTTCCGCCAGCGCCCGTACACCACCTGCAGCAGCAGCAGCAGCAGCAGCAGCGGATGCAGCGGCAGATGCGACTGGAGAGGCCCCACAGCGCCTGCCCGCACTCCAGATGGCCCAAGCAGCAACTAGCGCGGCAGGAAGCAGCAGCCATCAGCAGCAGCAGCAGCTGAGGGGCTGCGCCGCCCAACAGCAGCAGCAGCAGCAGCAGCAACAGCAGCAGCAGCAGCAAGCCCACCTCCAAGTACTTGATAGCCGGGACAATGAGCTTGAGGGCCGTGTGGCGAGAGATAAGGGCCTCGAGGTCGCCAGGAGTGGGAAAGGGCCCCTGCTGCTTAGTTGCTGCTTCCCTGGGGGCCCCCCTGTGGGGCCCCGGGCCCTCAGCTAGCTGCTGCAGCTCGCGGAGGGCCGGGCCGTCAGCACCTGCTGCTGCCAGCAGCTGCAGGTAGCGCGGCTGCATGCACTGCTGCGCCCACTCTCTTGCTGCTGCTACTCGCCGCTGCAGCTCCCGCGCAGAAGGCCCAGCAGTTTCTGCTGAGGGCTCCTGCAGCAGCGCCACAGCCAGCCCCAGCCGAATGGGCCGCTGCAGCAAACGGTCCACCCGCTCCGCCCAAGCAGCAGCAGCAACGTGGCCCTTCCAGTCGCTCCATCCTGCAGCAGCAGCAAACCCCAGCAGCAGCAGCACGCACTGCAGCAGCACCGCACATGCGCCCAGCACCCGCCTGCAAGGGCGCTCCACCTGTCGCCGGGCACCGCTGCAGCAGCTCGAGCAGCAGCTGCAAAAGCAGCAGCTACTGCAGCAGCTACAGCAGCAGCAGCTGCAGCAGCAGCTACAGCAGCAGCAGCTGCTGCTGCTGCGGCTGCAGCAGGCAGCCACCAAGCAGCAGCAGCAGCAGCGCAGCGTTGCTGCTGCAATGCTTTACCAGGAATGTAGACGCAGACGTCCTGAGCCTCCGCCAGAATCTGTTCGCACTGCTGCAGGTCTCCTGCTGCTGCTGCTGCGCGCAGCAGCTCTCTCCAAGTGACGACTTGCTGCAGCTGCTGCAGCAAAAATATGAACTCGGGCACAATGAAAGGCACCTCGTGGAAGCCTTCGACCAGCAGCCGGCGCAGCACCTCTATAGGGATGCGGCCCTTGCTGCTGCTGCTGCTGCTGCTGCCGCTGTTGCTGCCTGCTGCTGTGTTTTCTGCCTTTTCCCTGCGGCTGCCGCTGTTGCTGTTGCTGCTGCTGCTCCCGTTCAAAGCAGCACATATGCGCTGGGCGAACTGCTTGCTCTGCCGCACGCGCTGCTGCAGCTGCTGCAGCTGCTGCGTCACCCCCACAACTTGCTGCAGCAGTAGCCCCTCCTGCAGCAGCTCTTCAGCCTCTGCCAAGTGCAGTCTGTTGCCCATAGACACAGGAAGCATAGTTCCTTTTGCTGCTGCCACTGGGTCGGCCGGCAGCGGCAGCTGCACAGTTTGCTGCAGCAGCAAACCCACTTGCTGCGTCGGGGGGGCCCCCGGGGCCTCCACTTGGGGCCCCACAGGGGCCCTGCTGCAGCCATCTGTCAAAGCCACAGACAGCCGCAGCAGCCAAGACTCCACGCGGTCTAGCTGCAGCGAGACATTTTGCTGCAGCGAGCGCAGCGCGTCTACATCGCGCAGCGGCGGCGGGAAGCTCGCGCTGCTGCTGCTGCTGCTGCTGCTGTCTGCTGCGGCAGCAGGGCTTTCGGCGGCTCCTGCAGCTTGCTGCGCGTCTTGCTGGGGCCCTGCCTTCGGCAGCAGCTGCGGCAGCAGCAGCACATTGCCTCCCGCTGCGGAGATGGC